TATTCCTGCAGCTTGCAAGGTTTTTCTTATTAAGATCCTCTCTCAGCTTCTTTATGGTATTCCAATTTTTTTACAAAGTTTAATATCCTGGAAGCTGTCCAGTCCAAATTTATAAGAGCAATACTCAGTTCCAAGATGCATCAGGAATGCTGTTAGAGATGGGTTTGGTTTCTGTGGTGCCAGAGCCTGGTTCTATCTCCTTAATTTCTGGTTGAAATTGTTTTTTTTTCCCCCTGTGGGTCTGGCTCCACTGGTTCTCAGAGACCATTTTAAATCAACCTGGCTGACAAAAGCTAATAGCAAACTCCAGTCCTTAGGACTTTCTTTGGAAAATCTGTCTGTTAGGGCTTGAAAATGCCAGGAGTCATCTTAAACAATATATCTGGGATATTGACTTTCAAACCAGTTTAAGCCTAGTATCCAACCCTACAGTTTATGGATTCTTCTCAAACGGGCACGTGCCATCATCTTACCTCTCTTCAATTCTAATTCTGAAATTCTGTCGGGCCTTCACCTTGGCCAGGTTGGATGCATTCCCCTATGCAGTACTGTGGGACAGAATAAAAACATCCCCTTTTAGCAGTGCTCATGCCCATGTGGAGGTGGCTCTGTGGAATCCCTAAGCCATATGCTCCTTTGTTGCTCTCTCAACAAGGAATCAAGGAAGATATATATTTATCCTATTTTATAGAACCACCCTGGTAGAGAACACAATGTCTATCTGTCACTGCTTCTATCTGACCAGGACCCTGACAATTTTTTTTTCCAGGACTGCCTGATTCCGTGCTATCATTTGTTGTTTCTGTCCTATCAAGGCTGAAGTTTAGCATAAATTTTGGTGATTGCCCCTGCTGTTTATACTACAGTTACTATCATAATGTATTTTATGTAATTTTATTGCATATTTTTAAAAAGTTTTATTAACGATTACAGGTCGGTGTATTTTATTGTTGTACTTTCTGGCCCATGGGCTGTAATAAAAGTTTGATTTGAGACTCACCATTGTAAGAAACATACAAGCCTCTCCCAATATGTCGTCAACATCACTCACACTTCATTTAGGAAGGCTTTTACATCTCTCTGCTTTCAGACCATGCCTACTGCATTCCTCCAAGGGAGATTTTGTAAACGTACAGTGGAACAGTGCCTCTTTCCTTGCAATGTTGGCCAAGTGGAGGACATCATGCATTACATCCTCTTCTGCCCTGTGCGTGATGTTAGGAAGCACAACCAAGAGTACAAGCTCTATCTTTATTGTAAGGTTACATTAACAGAATCTTGCAAGGCAAAGATTTACTCTCCAGAAAATTACGGAGGGTCCCTTCTGAAATGTTTCCCACCTCTTCCTCTCTCTGTGGGCTGAGAACTTTTACATCCAGTTGTCCAGTCCATGGTTCTCCCTCCTGTCTCCCAAGGTCATTCCCACATACCATTAGATATGATGACATTAGGGGGAAAATACTAATGATAAATAAACTTAAGGGGTCAGATGCTGAATAACTGAACTACCTCTTACAGAGCAATTCCAACTGTTAGTAGTCACATTGCTACTTTTGTCATGTTTTCTTTTAAACTCAGAAAGACATTTTTAATTCTTAATTTTTGTACTGGTCCATGTTAACTCAAATCCCCTGCATGCCTTTTCTTTGTTCCCCTCCCTTCTCTTTTTCTTATTAATTAAAAAAAAATCTATATAATATTGTTACAATCTGTGGCCACAACAATAAAGTGACTGACTGATTAATATTAGGGCTGGAGTCTAACCTGGAAAGCTCAAAAACATCTTGGAATAAGATAATGGGAAACCATTTTCATATCATTACAAAAAAGACTGTGTCAAAATGTTCATAAAGTTAACAGGCATTAAGTTA